TATATATATATATATATATATACCATGTTCATGGATTGGGAAGTATCAATATTGATAAAGATGATCCCTTACTTTCCTAGTATAGTTTTAGATTCAATGCAATCCCATTCAGAATCCCTACAGGCTTTAGCCCCCTGGAAACTAACAAGATGGTTTTAATTTATTTGGAAAGACAAAGGACCAAAAATAGTAAAAATATTTATAGAGAAGAAAAGAGTTGCAACCCTTACCTTCCTGATTTCAAGACTTATTATAAGATTGTAATAATCAAGAATGTACAATACTGGGCCAGGGATTTAGCTCAGGGTTTCCACCACCTGCCTCGCAAGCACAAGGACCTGAGTTCAATCCCTGGTACCCCCCCCAAAAAAGAAGTACAATATTGGCAATATAATAGAAAAATAGATAATACATAGAAATAGAAGCACATATGTCAGTGAAATAATTTTCAACTAGAGTACTAAGGCAATTCAACAGATGAAAGAAACTTTTCAATAAATGATGCAGATAACACGAGGGTGGGGGAAGACCCTTAATCCTCATCTCATACAGAATGAAGGAATGGATATGAGTGGGAGCCAGGCCAGCTTCTAGTGGTGTTCATAATCTAGTTTGAAAGGCAACTTTCCATGTGAAAAGCTGTCCAAAACACTCTTCTGTGGAACAATAATTTTCAGTTCTTAGGGTTAGCAACTTCCAAGAGTCTTATCCTTAGATTAATTGAAATGGTTGGCTAACTTTCCAGCCAGAATGTCTACTTACAGTAAGAGGTTTCTTAAATAGAAAATGAAAAAGCCATGTGTTGAATGAGAAGTGCTAACCAGTGATTCTGAGTTACAAATGTGCATCTTTTATAGTGCAGTGATCAAAAATTGCCCTCCTGTTTTTGGATCAATTTGAATATCAAGGTAAAATATAATCAAATATTTCATAAAAATGTTTCCTACCTCTGAGATCCTAAATGCTGTGGCTCATCTGATACTCCTATCATGCTGAATTACTGTCCCTCAAGCTCCCCATGCCAGATTTCCCATTTTAGGGCCTTGGATTTTACCACCAAGATATTCTTCCCTGAGAGTTTTGAAAACATTTCATGCTGGAAGAAAATCTGTTTGTGATTGAACTTAATTTCATCAAGAATTTCTCACTGTGGAGGGTGGACACTGACCCAAGCAATTAGAATCATGCCTTTCTTCAGAGGAGAGTTCCAAAGTGAGGTTGCTATAGAGAACTGAGGAGGAGGGCTTCCGAAGAGGGAATTCAGAGGCTTGGATTAGTAAGGAGTAGGACACACTTGGTAGGAATATGATATCATAGAGCTACAATTACCTTGAAATCTGGGGTCTAGAGAAATCTGGGGGCTAGAGGTATGTGGGGAAAGACTCAAAGATATGGCCATTTTGGAGTCTTCGGCATTTCAAAACCAGCACAAATAATGCAGTCAGGAAGAATAAAAAAGAAACTAAGGCTACAGAAACCACTAGATAGAAATTACTTTTGGAATCACAATGTAAATCTGCAGAGCTGTTGTCGAGGTCTGGCAGCGCCTCTTGTAGGTTGTCAGCGAGCACCAGGTCAGCGTGGAGGTGGCCGAAAGAGGCTGCCCATCACCACGCACAGTGACCAGCAGGCACTGATGGCAGCAACCTTATTGCTTAATACTTGGCTGCAGGCTAAAGAGCCCAGGTCGCTGGCCTGCAGCACATGGTAGGACAGCAGGAGGGTTGTTCTCAGCTCTGTGGACCATGTAGGAGGCCTTGTGGGAAAACGGAGCATTGTCATTGACATCATCAATGTGTAAGGTGATGCTCCTGCTGGAGGACAGGGGAGGCTTGCCCTTGTCGGTGGCTGAAATGGTGATGTTTTACTCCAGGGCCTGTTCCCTCTCCAATGTCCCATCTGTTACAAGCTTTAGCGATTACTGGAGAAAGATTCAACTTTGAGAAGTGCACTTTCTTGTATGGGTAATACAACTCCTCACTTGCTCCTGAATCTGGATTTTGTGTTTTAAACAGAGTAACTATAGTCTGAGGTGCAGAATCCTTTGGAATCATTGTTGAATCAGAAGTAAAAAAATCACCTGTGGGACATGGTCATTATCATCTACAGTTTCAATCTCAAAAGTTCACTGAGCCACCAGTTCTTCTTTGTCCCGTGCTGTCAAAACCATGGAATAGTTTTTAATCTCTTTGAAATCCAATGTACTTAAAGTTTTCACTTCTCCACTCTTACTATCAAGACCAAACTGGCTATGAGCACTCTGGGCTGGGAAGGCACGCATGATCTCTGCACTGGTGCCCTATCCTGGTCGGTGGCCCTTACCTTCAGCACAGGGTCAGCCTTCTGTGGGCACATTTTCCTGAAGGCTGACCCTATGCACATCCTGACTGAAAACTGGGGGCCGGGGTTGTTGTTGGCATCAACCATCAGGATCAGGATCAGGATCTGAGTGTCCCACTTTGTGGTGGGTCCCCACCATCTAAGCACTAAATGATAGGAGCTATGCTTTTCCCAGTCTATGGCTTCTCTGAGACAAGTTCAACATATTTCTTTCCACTGTTGGTCTCTTTCACTTCGAAGACAAATATAGTGTCTCTGCTAAGGTGATAATTTTGTAAGGAACTGCTTATCATTCACATCCCAAATCTTTCAATTAATGTGAAAAACATTAATCTGAAAAACACTTAAAGGATTTTTCATCTACAATTTCAAAATGTACTGTACAAATGTATCTTGGGGGTATATCTTCTGCTGATCCACTCTGTCACTCACAAGTCTCCACTTTCTTCACTCAGAGTCATGGTTTGTTTTTTTTGTTTTGTTTTGTTTTTTTGTTTTTATTTTTTTCTCAATTAACCCACAACCTCGGTGCTGGACACTGAGGCCTAGATCCTTGGCAAGATTTCCTATGACTGAATCCTTGGCCAGTTTCTCAGGGACTGAAAGCGGATCTGTTGGAAGAACACCTTGCAGCATAAAACCAGACGCAAGAGAAGCAGTACTTGCCCCCATGACACCAGGCCTGGTAGACCTATGCTGTTTTCCATCTCATCCACAGTCAGGGTTCCTGCAGCTTCAACCCAGGTAAGGCCCTTTTCATATGATCTTTTAACCATAGAGCGCCCAACAAACAAAAGCAGAGCTCACTGCCAATGAATGCATGTGGTCCTGGTTGAAGAATGTTTCTGGTCTCTTCTGTATTTGTATTGAATCCAATTAAGAAAGTCACCAAGCAGGAAGGATGGAGGGATCTGTTTTGGTGTGGGCCAGCAGCAGCACTCTGAGTTTCTACTGTAGAACTGCAGCCTGAAGAAAGCAGAACTCGAAGTTCTGGAATTGAGAGCAGAAAGATGTTTCTCAACGAATTTCCAAGTTGAAAGGTAGTGTACAGTTTTGCTCTGCAATTAAATAGTTTTGGCAACTTATAACTTTGGTTTCTTCAGCACATAAAGTCAAAGTGATGGTTTCTTCTTATCTCTTCTTGATCTTGGATAGTTCTGAGATAAAATATTTTCTGTTTGTACCCCCATCCAGTCTTTCCTTGCATTTATGTAATACAGTCTCAAGATGGTTTCATAATATGGTAATCTTATGAACTAGTACATTTATTTTTAATTTTTTGGCTGTCCTGTTTGTTAGCTTTGTAAAATAGATCTGAATGTTAGCTCTCAATTGTGGGTTTGACATAGAGAGAAAGTACATGTAAAATCAATGGTTTTGTAGAATGATTCTTTCCCAAGAGACTGATTTCTAATCATTCAACTCAGGTATTTTATTGAATAATTAAGTGGGCAAACTACTATGTAAAATGCTTCAGAGACTTAATTATTAGCTAAGAAATTACACCTGTTGTCAATATTACACACAATAGATCTCTATATGAGTTCTCTAAGAAAAATTATGATAATACCAACTTCTTTTCATAAAAATAGATTTCTTTTTTGGCTCAATGGTCTATTTGATGGCAATTTTTTCAGATTTTCCTGAACCAGAGTCCTTCCCATATGTTATCCTGAAACATCACCCTTTATAAAATATTTTTCAATTTACTTTTGTCATAGGCTATCTTTGGCCAAAACTATTTTAAGAATATATCCTAAACAGTATGCATTGTTATTGGTAACTTGTTATGTATGTTTTCCCCAAAAATGAATGCAAAATGTAACATGAAAGAGTGTATCATTTTCCTGAGATATAGACTCATTAGCTTGATTGACTTCCTTTCAAAACTGTATGTTTTCTTTCTTGAACCTAGTATCTTGTATTTAAAAAAAGGTAGATTTTTCACCAGAATTATTCAACTCAACATCAGAGATACTTTGCTTCATGTCACTGAGAAGACTGGGGACAGTGCGCTAATTGATCATTAGTCTTCCAATTCACTGAAGATATGTATAATCTCACAAAGGTTCAATAGCACTTCCGAAGTGAATGTGGTGAGAGTTGACAGACTACAGTCAAATTTTCAGCAGAGGCACAACTTTTAAGTTATAGCTGAACACCCTAGATGAAATGAATGCACAACCAACAGCCACAACACACAGGAAGGCAGGAAAAGCCCTTGATATAGTACTTTCATTACTGGCACCAGATGAAATGTAAACATCTAAACCCATTACTCAGTTACTCTCAGAAAACAATCAACAAATACCTTAATTATTAATTATCAACAACTATCCTAAGTATTCTTAAACTAAAATTGGTATTTTATATAGCCATTCATGTCAATTCTCATATGGCCCAAACTAAATAACTCGAACCTTCATGTTTTGGTGATCCATTTTTTTTTTAAATCACCTAAGATCTCATTGGAGTAAACTGCTTTTAAAAAATAAGTTTCATAGGACCCTTGTTTAGTTTATACTATTCATACAGAGAAAATTTAATGTTCACAAAATTGTCTCATACAAAATAATATTTCTTCCATTGTTTATGGTCTGAAACTGTGGCTTCTCAATCAATATGCCTTGGCACTTAAGATTTTAAAATCAGCTTCACAAATATTTTAGAAAAATTTTGTTTTCATGTACAAGCCATCTCATTTTAACACATGGCAAAGCACTCAATTCATTATTTCTTTCCCAAACAGAATGTCAATATGATTCCTTTTTCTGTTCACCATGAAAAATGACTACTGTTATTTAACTACTGGTTATGAGCTAGAAGATTTATACATTTTCTGTAGTCAGTACAATCTTTCAAATTAAATGTTATCATCCACATTTTGCTGAAACTCAAAGAGATTAAATAAATTGTCAAAAGTGACCCAGTTAGGAAATTATGAGATGCAAATTTATTGTCTTCAGAAAGCTGGTGTCAGAGAATCCCCACAGCACTCTTAGATACTATTTCATTAATTAAAGAACTATGGGGCTGGGCGTTTAGCTCAGTGGTTCTGTCATCTGCTTTGCAAGTGCAAGGTCCTGAGCTTGATCCCTGGTACCTCCCCCAAAAGAACTATATAATGAAAGCTTCCCAGCTCAAACTGTAAGCACAGTTGAGCTTACTAATTTTTTTGAGATACAGTCTAAGAGTTACAACTACTCAAGCCCTATCTCTCAATGATTTGTCTCTAAGTCAAGTTAGGTAAATAGTAATCAGCATAATCATACTATGTTGGCTTAGTTTCTCAGTTTCTGGTTTCCAATTATATCTTTCATCTTGTGTTGCATGAGAATTGGCTCTTTGAAAAATATTTTTATAATCTCTACAATATAACAGGGGGTGTTTTGGCTTCTAATTTTTTACTGTTATAGAACATTGATGCTGTAAATTCTATTTGGAACATTATGTAAAGATAAATTTTGTATTTTTTGCATAGGCTCAAATACTTCCTTTAAAAAAACACAAAACAAACCCACAGAATCTATGCTTCCTTTTGATTTGTGTGTGGGGGCTTGGTTGTCAAGAAGTTTAAGGAAATATGTGAATCTTGGTAGCATTTTAGAGTCATTTGATTATCTTTCCTTCACTAAATGGTTTGTAATATCTCCCCCCCACCGACACCAGGAATCGAATTCAAGACCCTGCACTTGCAAGGTAGGTACAGCACCACTGAGCTAGGCCCCAGCCCTTGTAATCTCTTTTATAAATTTAAGTCTTGACTATTTTGTTTTTTATAGGCAGCAAATAAAAAGATAGGATAAAGAATTATGCTTCCTATCCCTTTTTGAAGGGAAAAAGAAATCAGGCAATGTTCCACAATAGTAAAACATTTTTGCATCCAGTTCCTAATAAACTTTCCACAGTACATGTGAATTCTTAGAAAACACAATCTGTGCAATTTTAAGAAAAACTTCCATGTTTGTAAAAGTTATGGGAAATTTAATGCAGGAAGCAGAAGGAATTGCTGTAAATTTTCCCACAGTACCAAAAGTATGCTCAAAACACAATGAAATTTTCAAGAAATTGTTTCTTCAAAGAAATACTCAGTGGATAAATGGCAATAATTTCAGTCACCATTGTGCCACATTTTGTTAATTCTGAATATTTCACAAAACCATCATTAATATCATCAACAGAGAAATTGAGCATAAAAGTCTAGTATATTATTTACTAGCATACATAATACAAAAATATTTTATTACTGAATGTATAATAAAGGTGAAAAAATCTTCACAGTTCTTCAGGACAATATATATATTGTATATATATATTGTATGCTTGAGAAAACTCAAATGTATAAGAAATTAACTCACCACATTGGGAAGTTGAATGATTTAAAAACATGAAATGACTTAGGACACCAAGAAAGTATAAATGAATGTATCCCTAAAAATCGGAAAGAGTTAGTATACTTTAAAAAGACAGTTGATAAAATTGTCAGCAATCTCAAGTGTAGTTAAAACCATTCTAGTCGACTGGGGCTGGGGACGTTACAAGTGGTAGAGGGCTTAGTATATTCATTGAGGTCCTGGGTTTGACCCCAGTACAGAAAAAAAAAAAGTCTTAAAAATATTTTAAAAGACACTCTTTTTAAAGGCTTACTAAATTTTTCATTTATTTCATTTATACTTTCCATTGAATGAAAGAATCTATGTTTTTTAACAGATAAATTGTATCAGATGCTTGACACAAAACTGCTACATGACCAAAAAGAAAAAAAAAATAAAAGCATGAAGTGTATTTTAGTTGATAAATTAGAAAAATATAGAAAGAATATTAACAAGGTACTTTAGAGATTGCTTACATATTATCTAATAATATAGCCTCAATAATATGGTAATATTATTTATGTTGCGCCACCCGGTACCGGGGATCAAACTCAGGACCTTGCGTTTGCGAGGCACGAGGCAGAACCACTGAGCTAAATCCCAGGCCCGATATTGATTTTACGTTTACATATATACGTATTTAGAAACACATATATGTGTATTGGTATATGATTTCCAAATATACACTAATCATCCTTACTAAGGGATATTTTGCTTCCAGCCAGAAAACAATACCTAATACGGACTCACCTGAATTAATGCATGATTGTCTTTAGAAAACACCGAATCGCCTGATAGCAAAAGCGGCTCGCTTTTCTCACAGCTCTCCTGGCTGATGAGAGTGTCCGCGTAGTTGGGCTGCGGGAAGATCAAGTGGCTCTTCCTGGAGTCCGCGGTGAGCGAGACCTCGTGGGAATAGGTCTGTAGGAAAGCGCGCACCCCATCCACGCCCACAAAGTGCGGGGCTGGTAAACCAGCCAATCCGTTTCCCGCAGCCTGGAGCAAGCGCACTGAGTGCCAGCGCCGCAGTTTGAGAGCCAACAGCACGAGGACGAAGGCTAGGAAGACGCAAGAGACTGAGGCCACTGCCACCACCAGGTACAGCGTGAGGCCTGACGTTTCGGAGTTGGCTGGAGACTCCAGTCTGCTCAGATCCGCTAGAACGTCGGGGATGCTGTCGGCCATGGCCACGGTGATAGTGACCGTGGCCGAGAGAGGGGGCTGGCCGTGATCCTGCACAGAAACCACAAGGCTCTGCTTGAGAGCATCTCTGTCCAGCAGGGCTCTTGCCGTGCTCACCTCGCCCGTGTGCAGCCCCACGGAGAAGAGCCCCGGCTCACTGGCCCTGAGCAGGCGATAGGACAGCCAGGCATTCTGGCCCGAGTCTCTGTCCACCGCCACCACTTTGGTCACCAGGTATCCCGGCTCTGCGGAGCGGGGTGCCAGCTCCACTCCTGTGGAACCGTCCGTGGGGATGGCTGGATATAGGATTTCGGGGGCATTGTCGTTCTGATCCTGCACGAACAAGCTCAATGACACGTTGCTGCTGAGCGGCGGGTCCCCACTGTCACGCGCCAGCACTTGTAGCTGTAGGTCTCGGAACTGCTCATAGTCAAAGGACTGCAATGCGTATAGCACGCCGGTGTCCGAATTAATAGAGACAAAAGAGGTCATCGGCGACCCCTGGAGAGTGTCCTCAACCAGGGAATACGTGACTTGTGCATTCTCGTCACAGTCGGGATCATGTGCGGTCACTGAGAAGATGGAGGCCCCTCTGGGGTTGTTCTCTGGGATGTAGGCGGAATAGGAGGCCTGAGGGAAGACCGGCGGGTTATCATTGGTGTCCTTCACGACCAGCGAGATATGCGTTTCCGTTGACAAGGGCGGATTTCCCATGTCAGTGGCGGTCACCGTGATGTTGTAATTAGGAACCTGTTCCCGGTCTAAGATTGTATCTGTGACTAAACTATAGTAATTTCCATAAGATTTTTCTAATTTAAAAGGCACGTTCCCTGGCATGGAACAGATTACCTGTCCATTTTCCCCAGAGTCTTGATCATTTACATGTAAAAGGGCAATTAATGTCCCTCTGGGAGAGTTTTCGGGAATAGAGCCTGTGAGAGAGGTGACCACTACTTCAGGGGCGTTGTCATTTACGTCCAGCACTGTGATCAGGACTTTGGCTCGTGCGGAATATCCTGCGTTATCCATTGCTCGCACTTCCATCTCGTAGAAAGCTGATTCCTCGTAGTTCAACTCCCCTATTGTTGATATTGTCCCTAAAGTACTATCCAGCTTGAAAACTTGGGCCGCCTTGTGGTCCACATACCGGAAGGAGTACCTCACTTCCGCATTGTCCCCTTCGTCTGGGTCGGTAGCGTTTACCAGAAGCAGCAGAGTGCCCACAGCCACATTCTCAGGAACGCTCACGCGGTATTCAGACAGAGCAAACGCTGGTGCATTGTCGTTCGCGTCTATGACCACCACCCGGATGCGCGCGGTGCCGATGCGGACCGGGTCACCTCCGTCCAAAGCCGTGAGGATCAGCTGGTGAGCGGCCTGTACCTCGCGGTCCAAGGCGCGCTCCAGCACCAATTCCGGATACTTGTTACCATCTGCTCCGTTTTGCACCTCCAAGGAGAAGTGAGTATTTGCGCTGAGCTCGTAGCTCTGGAGAGAGTTCTTCCCGATGTCTGGATCCCAAGCGTGGGGAAGGGGGAACCGCATCCCAGTGGCTGCGTTTTCGCTCATTTTTATTTCTAATTCACTTTCACTGAAGTGGGGGGCATTATCATTAATGTCCGTCACTTCTACTTCTACCCCATATATTTTCACTTGGTCCTCCATTAAAATCTCTAGATTTAATTGGCACTTGGTGGCCCCCATGCAGAGTTCCTCCCGATCTATCCTGCCTGCTGTGACCAAGCTGCCGCTGCGCAGGTTCAGAGAGAAAAGCTGCGTCCTACCTTGGGAGACAAGGCGGACTCCGCGCTCCGCCAGCTCGCGGGGCTCCAGCCCCAGGTCCTTGGAGATGTTGCCCACCCTAGAGCCTTTCTCCAGCTCCTCAGGAACTGAATAGCGTATCTGGGCGCATCGGGCTTCCCACAGGATCCCCAAGAAGACGCCCAGAAGGACCGGCCCCTTGCAGTCTCGGTGTAGTCGCACGGGAATCATTGTCACTTTCCTCCAGGATTTTTTCCACTTCTGCCCTTGATCACTGAAGTCAGGGTCAGCTCTTCAGCCCCTGGAATCGGAGGGTCCCGGGCGGGGTCGAGCGTTTCTCCGCTGTTTCCTCACGGAGATGGTTTGTTTCGATCTGTGCTTTGTGCTTTAGGCGCCTGCTAGATCAGGATCTTTGCATTTCTCTGCCTGATTGGTGAACAGCGGCACTCAGAGTCCTAACCAATTACTGCACAATCTTGGACTCCCGGAAAGAATTTTTGGTTTTTATACCTCAAATAGCTCCACCTACTGTTCTTCAAGTAAGAACAGAGGCGGAGCTCGCTAAACCAAGAGTATTTCTTTTAGTAGACACTTGAAGTGAACTTCTTTTTTATTTCCTAAAGTTTTCAGACAGAACCACTGTCTTGAGATTATTTTCCGTAGATGTCTGTTTTGCAATTCTTGTGATCAGATTTCATGTGAACTTAGTTTTCACAAACAGTAATTTTAGCACACCTATTTTGAGATCACTCCACATCTATTATGAGGGACCAGTCTCCAGGAACTTCTTGTTTTGATAATTTATATTATAACATAATTTAAACTTTTGGCTTTAGTTATAATTTGAGGCACGAGGTGACAATGCTTCAATAGATTTCATGAACTTGCCTGAATGGAAGGACTACTTCAACAGCTTGAGATTTAGCACTTAAAACATCAAATTTTCATGTAAAGTAGAAACCAAAAAAGAGAGAGAGAAATGTGCTTGTATACATCATCAGAATTATATCTGTCAAGAAGACAAATGAAGAAGATGTACTAACAGGATGTGAACAAAATGGGAGCATTCCAATGTGCATTTACTGGAAATAATTGTAGTATTCTACAATTCTACTAGTACATTATGTTTCAAAAGAATGTTTAGTATTGGGAAAACCTTAGTAAAAGAAAATGAACAAGGGGCTGGGGATTTAGCTCAGTGGTTCCACTGCTTGCCTTACAAGCACAAGGACCTGAGTTTAATCCCAGTACCAAAAAATCAACAATACAAAGAATATTATGTTTACCTTTTCCTGGGTAACCAAATTCCAATTACTGAGAATTACTGGTAATAAATTTGAAGTATACCAAAATATAGGAAAAAATTATCCCTAAGACAAAACTAGCTACTGTACTTCCATGAATATAAATATGTATATTCTGAGGAAAAGCACTTTTGGTGGGGAGAGTGCTGGATATTGAATCCTGGACCTCTTCAAAGCAAAGTACATGCTCTATTATGGAGCTACACTTCAGTGTCTGACAGCCATAAAAAGTAATATCTTCAAAATTGGGAGGAAATTTACACACAGCTATGAAGAAAAATCAAACATAAAATTGAGTAATGAGAGCCAAGAATCTCTAATATACCTCAGTAGTACCAAGTTATTAGTCATTTAAAATATTTTGTTATGCATTTTCTCTCAATTTAGTTAATAGAAAATAAAACTTATATACTCTAGACATTGAACTACCAAAGACAACCACAAAAAGAAAAATTATTATTCAATTTAAAATATTTGAATGGTTAGCAGCATCATAATACACAGTTCTCACCTGAGTGTTTTGGTGTGTGTGTGTGTGTGTGTGTGTGTGTGTGTGTGTACAAAATACTTCAAAATATTTGAAGGCTGAGAGTGAAGTTACAGGCCCACAGAGAAAGGGACAGAAAATATTGAGAGTGGATAGCCAAACTTAAAGCAATGGTAGATATGATCTGCTTAAGATTTCCTTGCCAAAATATTGGTTTGAAAATTAAACCAAACCATTTTCAAATGAAAGACACACTGCAACTCACATGAGTAGAAGCAACAGAACCAGAACCAGAGCTTATCTTGTTTTTCTTGAGACTTACTGCCAAAGAAGCTTCCTCGGAAGGATCTTGCGGGGTGACCAATTCCGGCATCATGGTGAGAAAATCAAGCCTTGTTTTCTGAGAGTCAGACGCAACGCACAGATTGTAGGAATAAGGCAAGGTTCCCTCGCTGTAGTTGAGAGAAACCCCTGGTCTGCTCTTAGAGCAGAGATCAGATTGAAAGCAGCCCCAGTAAGTGGGACTGGAAGAGTGTCGCAGTCGAAGTGCAACGGCCAAAATCACAGCGAGGAGGAAGAGCACTGAGATCAAGGCCAAAGCCACCACCAGGTAGAACTGCAGCTCGGCCTGGGGCTCAGAAGGGACAGGTTGGTCAGCGAGATCCGGAAGCACCTCTTGTAAGCTGTCCGCAAAGACCAGGAGCAGGGTGGCGGTGGCCGAAAGAGGAGGCTGCCCACCATCCCGCACAGCGACCAGCAGGCGGTGGCGGGCAGCGTCCTTGTCGCTTAAAACGCGAGCTGTGCGCACCTCGCCCGTGCGCAGCCCCAGGCTGAAGAGCCCGGGGTCGCTGGCCTGCAGCACG